AATCAGCAGTCGTGAACATCGGAGCGCGCACATGCTCACAGTAGCTCGGCTGGTAGTGGATATACATCCTCAAAGACCCTTTTCCCAACCCCCACTTCTCGTATACCACCTTCTCGCTTTCACATCGGATGGTGTTCAACAAATCCACATGCTTCCGCCGCAGATCTCTCAAGCTCCTTATGCTTCTATCTTGGACCAGCGCAAGGAGGTACAAAGATGATATCGTTTTGAGATCCCATTTCATATCGGGGAGAATCAAGAATTCTGGGGACGAATACAAGACCTTCTCCTGTTCGGACAGTCCCAGTAGTATATTTTCAACCCTAAACGATACCACTCAGTCAAAATCGGGTCCAACTCAAGATACGCACCATTGAGTTCTTGCAGGCGGAAAGGCCGCAATATATGGCTTTACAATTGTCTCATATAATTTTGGGGTTTCTCTGACCATGAAAACGTCCTGCTTCGAGTACTATTTGCACTATCAATAAAGATTATACAAGTATGCCGAAGCTTCCAACCTTGCGTATATGAACCTGGGTGGCAGGGCAGATAATGTTAATCTTGATGTCTCTCTCGCGCTCCTCCCCTAGCCATCCAAACAACCAAGTGTACTTATGGACCGTTGAGTTAAATAGTGCCCCTTAAAAAAAAAGAAAATATAGATACAATGTCGGTGCTTTCCTCTAAGGCAACCCGTTTCACCAGTCCTTTATCGGAGAAGAAATCACTTGCATTTTCTGGGTCCAGGGCAGTCCTCTCTATCTTAACGATCGCAGCAACGTGCTCGCCGTCTGAAGAGACTTCGCTGTGACCGGGAAGACTTCCAAGTAAGATGAGACTGTGTGTCAAGGGATCTTCGTTGATGACCCTTTCGAATCGGAACCTGTTCAGTTTCTCGAGGTTTATTGGTGCAGCTGGATGGGACATCGTTCTAGGTTTAATAGAGGGATTACTAGGCACGATTAACAATGTGGATTCGGCTGTACTCAAATAAACTTTTGCAAGGTACATCGCTGATTAGATTAGATTACAACTACAGATCAACTAGTTACATTTTATTTTCAAGAATTTCTTAGACTGTCACTATGGTAATACGTTCCGGGTATTATTGAGCACAAAAGACAAGGTTAACGCTGTTGATTATAAAACAAAAGCTTCCTTGATGATCAAGCACTAGAAGGGGAGTGAAATGTCTTCGATTCTCGCCCTTTCTTCCGGTTCATACTTCAACAGACGTTCCAACACTCTTTCCAACGCATCAAGGTCAGTACCAAGCTCCCTATGTCCCTCGTCATCCTCACGGCGTATATCTTTCAGCCGTTCCTTCAAATTCACAGTTCTCGGCTCACCTGTGTGATCTCCAGAGTCTGCTTTGAACGCCCCGTCCTCCTCGAAAAAGGTCGAGCGCTCGTCCCATTGCTTCCACCAGCACTCCGGGAACTTGCCGAATGTGCGCACCATTTCGACGAGGATCTCACCACGCTCCGCGAAAAACGATTCGAGAAGTTTATGGTTCCCAAGCACCTCGCACATCATGCACGTGAGGGACCATGCATCAACCTTGGGGGTGATCACATCTACGAACATTTGCCAAAATCGGTGACTTTGATAATCGGCCTTCATGACTATTTTGGCGAGGCGAAGGGGGTTGGTTGGAGTAACAACGTAGCGAGGTGCGGCTGGAGTAAGGGGCGCGCCATCTACCCTCTCGACAGGTTCCTTGTAAGGCTTCCCGAACTGTTTGTAGACCTTTTCAATCGTCCAAGAATGAAAGTCTGGAATGGTAAAAAGAATGTTCCCGGGATGGAAGTCTACGTAACGACTTTCAATAAAGATGACTTTAACTGATAAAAAAAATACCAGCCTCCGCGAGCAACTCCGCTGGAGTGTATAAAAGCAAGTGCTTGAGTGCACTGGGACGCAACTCGTTTTGCGATCGGAACTGGCAGCTTGTTTCCAGATGGTTCGAGTTTAATCTTACTAAGGCTAGGACCAACCTCAGTGACCAGGCATCTATGGGTGCCGTTTGGACCTTGTATCTTGAAATCTTCGAGCAAATTAGCGACATAACAACGTCCAGGATGCGAAGAATTGGACGCTGCGAGGTGGCGGAGAATACAGGTTTCGGGGGTTTCTAAGGATGCTGAGGCGATTATTAACTTGAGAGCGACGAATCTATCCTTTTCCAGGTCTTTCGCGGGCCACACGGTAGAGTAGCTGCCGACCCCCAGCTCGTGCACGATACGGTACCTGCCCAAGATCTCGTCGTCGATGAGGACAGGATGATAACCACCAGGACAGTAGTTCTCGAGATCTTCTACATCTTCTTGCCAGACGTAGGTTCAGGAGTAGCGACGGGAGACATGATGGATCAGGGAGGAAAACTTGAGCGATAGCAAGTCTCACGAGACGTATAAAACAAGGATTTGGGCGCAGGGAAGGAGGAAGGACGGGCCTGGCCCATCTCACATTAATGTGTGAGGGTCATTCGAGATGCTTCAAAAGTCTATGTAAGCCGTCAAAGGGCTGCGTGGGATAATCCATAGGACAACGGTTGGCGGCGGACTTATTTACTTCCAGCACTCCAAGGCCTCACAACGCGATGCTTCAGCTTACTGCCTATGACGGACGCTTGCATTATGGTTTAGCTAGCTTTCGAGACGAGCACTCAGATGTCAGATCTATGGCACCTTCTTGACAGTTGAAATGAACCTCTGGCCTCTAATCGCGTACTTATACGCTAGTTCGCGCTGGTTACCATATAATCCCTCTTCCAGCGCTCAGCTTTATCGGGGTCTTTGGTTGAACGAACCGACGCGGTGTATCAGATCGGAAGAGCTCAGGGCTTTTCGTTTTCTGAATCAATTGAATTTGGGCGAAGTATGCTATTATTCTATCATTGCTACTTCTGTTAATAACTCAGCACACCGGTACGCACCCCATCACATTATAATAGGTAATTGAGTACTAGAAACTGAGATGGTTCCAAGCTCTGAATTTAAACTAATTTAATCGTAATCGCCCACCGACGTGTCCCAGTCAATGCCAATAAGAAATCCATCTCATCCCCTGCGGCACCTGAAAAGCCGAAGACATTTCTTTGTAGCAGGTATCAACATAATAACGAATGAACACATGATTCTATGGAGGCAAGTACCTACAGACTTATGGCTTATACACTCAAAGAGCTCACATTTCGCCTGTCATCTGTTGATGTGATACCCCTTCAGGCAGGCCTAAGAGACTAGGTCCTAGTCTCTAGAGACTTACCATAAGTGGTTCACAGGCGAATCGCCGATATAATTTCAACAACCACCCAGCCTACTTGCCAGTATTAGCTTCTGTTTTCTTCCTACTCATCTTGATGATTTGAAGTGACATTTTGGAGCATGTAGTATTTTATCCGGTACGTCTCGGGTGGTCATTTATAGACGATTTTCTGTTGATGGTGATATCATGTACGCAGGACTGATAAGAAAAAGATGGAGAAGAAGGTTTCTAGGGACTCCACACCTACACTACATACACTCTGTCTTTCTTTTGAAAGTACTGACTATTCATCCTATTCATTCGGTCTAGATGGAATGGTCGATGATAATTGTGACGTCATCCTGGAACATAACGTCTACTTAAATGAGTGGAGGTAGACTTACTCTTCGTCCACATTGCCTGAACAGCCCTCTGAAACATGCCCAAAACACACACAAAGTCAGCCTCTGAAGAGGAGAATCGAAAAGCCACACTTCTCCCCCTGGAAAATGATGACGACGAGCTAGCTCGGACAAGGCACGCCAGCAGGTTAAAATACGAGCCTCAGACAGGTGCGTGCAGTCTGGGAAATATATTTGACAACGGATTTGATTTTGTCCCAGGAACTATTGAGCGAGGGCACATCTACTTTTTCTATCGTCCAAAAGTACAGCTCAAAGGGGCCCGCTCACTAGATGAAGTCCAGAACTTTCACATGCTCCTCGTTCCACGTCCGCCGCAGTTCAGCGCTTGCGGAGCACGCAACCTCAAGGAAGGAGAAGATCCTGACGAGATGGAGGTCCTCACGCCTGGTGCAGACGCCATTCCCGCGCATGAGCCTCTGGATCAGCCGAAGAAACATTTCCGCCTCATCACCGTTGGGAAGAAACACCTCCCTAACCCGAAGGTAGGCGGCCCTGGGAAAGGCCGAAAGGAAATGTTCTGGGCCACTGTGACAGTCGTTGGAGATGACCTCACTAGCCTAGAACAGGGCCTGGGCGAGCGCACCTATGAAACCAAGACCAGAGGTGAGTTGACTTGTGTAATCGAGTGGAGACTTCTCCGATGATCCATCGCTAAAATAGGCCTGCGACACCAAGAATCTGCGCGCCTTTTAGGAAGAGGCGCCTATGCGATTGTGAACAACGATCCCGAAGTCCCTTCGCACCGTGAAACACATTTTGGCTACCATCTTTCGCACCCAAGCGAGCTCGGAGAAGTCCAAGAGGCGTTTGGTATAGAAAAGGCAGGGTCGTTCGTCCTGCAAATCAAGAATCCTCTAGCTCCTGCGACGGAGTCTGGATATGTACATGAGCAAAGTGCCGTTTATGGGGACGAGATCTTACATCACGTCTTTGGGAAGGGCGTTAAAGGGCGTAGTCCTTGTGGTCTTCATTTCACTAGTTGCGTGACTCCGGAGTTGCTGGACTACGAGCACGCCCAACTTTTGTTAATCGCTGCCAAAGGGGGAGAGGAGGGATTAGAAACCAGTCTGGGCGAGGGGCGAGGAAGGGGTGAGTTTCTCTTCTCGAGTATTTGTTATCGTTAACAGTATTTGTACCGCGCAGCCTTGGCAGAACTTGAAGAACAGGAGGCCGATGAATCTGTTGAGACAATCTTCAAGGAACTTGGAATGGATGCATCGACATTTCCTCCTCAGCAACCAGTCGAAGAGGGGGAGTGGATTTGAGAGAGCAGTTTGCAGTACTACACATGAATTGTTGGACCAGTTTCCCATATCATCAACGTCCGGTATGGTGTAACGGCTAACATTGCCGCCTTTCACAATTACTTCGCGGCAGCTCGGGGTTCGATTCCCCGTACCGGAACTCACTTTTTCACTCTCACGAAGTGATTTATTGATTTGTATAACCTTTCATTTCAAAACGGGGGAAAGTAGAATCCCTGTCATCGGGTATGGTGTAACGGCTAACATTGCCGCCTCTCATAATTGCTTCGCGGCAGCTCGGGGTTCGATTCCCCGTACCCGAAAGTTTGCTTCATTTTCCTGGCAAGTTACAATACGAAAGGTACTACCGCAAAAGGCGGCTTCCCTGCTGCCACACCCGTCTTCAAGCTTTGATGCCGCCTCCACGCATACGGTAGCATCACCACAACTTCGACGAAGAGAACAATATACGACGGCGCAAGGTTCGGCGCGAACAGGTATGCCGGGTTTCTTACGAGTGTCAGAACATTCCTTGCATTGCATAGCCAGCGCGCGCTGGCGAGCAAGAAAGGTGGCCGCGGGGCCGCTGCCAGTGCGAAGCCAAACCACTCGGTCCACTCGCAGAGGAACTGCGGATGGGAGACACACACGTGCAACCCGCACCTCGGGAGAGCATCCCGCACCCGCGCGTCGAGGTTGCGTGTGTCGTCGTCCTTTTTGGCTTTTCCCAAGGCGGCAGTCCGTTGCGCGTGGTGTAGCATTTCATTGTGCCAGATTCTACTAGTGATCCCGAGCGCCCAAAGCGCGGCACCGAGATAGAAAGAGTTGCGTCTGAAAGTGTATGGGGCTGTGAGGTAGATTCGTGCAAAGGGCGAGGTGAGATAAGCGCCGAGCATCCAGCCGGTGAGTGTGTGAAATATGATTCTAACAAGGCTTGGAAGGGTGTGCTCCTTCCGCTTGGTGCTGTCAGTCGGAAATGTACGCCAGGGCAAGGAAACTTGGTGGGCGAAGTGCGCCAAATACATGACCGCCAATAGAATCTGTGGTGAGTTGAGAGGGGGGTCGGATTGGAAGGAGAAGGAAAGGGGTGAAGTCAAGAAGGCGGCGAGAAAGATGACCGGCGGGGTGAGCTCGGTCAAAGTCGAGATGACGGGACCTGATCATTGTAAGCGAGCCTATTAACAATGAGTAGGGAGACACTTGCCGCTCTCAAAAAGAATACGGTCAGTGCAAGGTGAGAACTGTTTGAAAATCGGTTCCAGGTTCAACAGAGCAAAAGATGAAGCGATAGATGAGATCATAAGCCATTTTCTTGTAACTATGTCAAAATCATCAGCAACTCCACACTGAGTATCAAAATGAACCTTTCAAAAAGTCTTACAGTTATACAACACTGCAGCATGTCCCTGGCTGAACATTGTCTCTGATACTGTTCAGGAAACACGGGAGAGGACCCATGAGCTCTAGGAAGATTATGAATCCAAGGAGTAGCCACGGCCCGGTGTCGGAAGAATCTCGAAAAAATTGATCATCTTATATCGTATGAACGTCAACGTGGGCGTTATGTGGAAGTATCCCATTGGCGTGAAGCTCCTCCACATGATCATGGGTTTTCTTGGATATCTTGTCTGACACTTTCTTCTCGGAGCGACATCTAACATGCATCTATTCCCAAGACCTTGCCAACAGGTGGACAAGCTTCAGATAAAGATTGAAATTATAGGGACGCACAGGCGCACAATTATTGTAATCAAGTAGAACCAAGGTAACCCCAGTCTAGTATATGATTTGTGCCAGGGAATGCTCATGGATTATAGCAAAAAGGGAATGATAGCACGTCGATCGGGTGGATAACTGGCACCAAACCGCTGGTGATACCACTTGTGTCCGCGAACTGCTCGTGGAAGCATGAGGAGGACTTCCGAAAAGAGGAAGATATACGGCGGGGTAAGTGATGGTGCAAACAACGACGCAGGTGCTGCAAGTGTTGATGGCAGGGAGATGAGCGAGGCAAGCGATATTGTGGGTAAGGGTGCTGCGGCGAGGGCGAAGCCGAGCCACTCGAACCATTCGCACAGATAATTGGGATACGACACGAAGGCGTATAATCCACCATAAGGGATAGCATAATGCTCTCCAGTGCCGGGTTTAGCATTGGCCTTGCTCTGTGCATGGCGGCGCAGTGTTAACAAAACCTCGTCGTGCCAGATGTTCCCTACGAGACCGAAGCTCCACATCGCGATGGCTGCCCAAAACCCTGCACGTGAGAAAACACCAGCGAGGTGGGTCTGTGCAACGGACGAGTTAAGGTAAGAGCCCATAAGGGAGCCGTTTATGGTGTTGAAAAGGATAGCGGAGAGGGGGACTGAAATATGGGATTTGGAGCGTGAGGGTGTGCGAAGGGGCGAGATGAGGGCACGATTAGCATAGTGTATGAGGTAGAGACCCGCAAGTAGGGATTGCGGGGACAAGAGGGATGGAGAAGTGTGTGTCCCAGTGGACAGTGGCGAAGTGAGGAAAGACCAGAGGAAGAGGATTGGAGAGACAAGCTCCATTACGATCCAAGCCTTTATTCCGTCAACGAGGAATAGAGTGTTGCTTCCGGGCGCAAAGCGTCCAAATGGCGCGTCAATGAAGAACGTCAAAGGGCATATTGCAAGTGGTACAAGCGTGAAGTATTTCCGGGCGGCGTTGTAGAGAAAAGTTGCCTGTTCTGGTGAGAACATGACAGTAGTTGCCAGTCAGGTCAGCGCATGCAGAATCCCACAAACCACGCCATGATCACCGAAATTGATTGCATCTAATCTCTCTTCATCCCGAGTTTGGCCAACAAGTCCTTGACAAGCTGGTCAGCACAGCCGCTGCCAGCGCGTAAGTCCCTCATTTACCTCTGCATTTTCTGCCTCTGTACATGCTTCGAGAAAGCCAGGGAGTGACTGATATATACAATAGACATGGTTAGTCTATATTTTCAACGGAAATATGTGATTCTGACCCATTCACAGAACGCGTCCTAGGAGTCTTGATATCGATAGCCTCGAACCTACCCTCCTCTTGCTAAATGAAATCTATTTCTCTTCCCATTTTGTTTGACAGATTTCCGATGATATTGAGCGAACTGAAATACTGGCATCAATGAGAAATCGGATAACATGTCGAGTGGCGCACCAGAATTACCTAGAGATATATGCGGATTCAATCCTAGAAGAAAAAAATTGCAGGTGGGTATCTTGTCTCTCAATTTTAAATCTAGTATTATATCATCAAACTAGGCTTGAAATGGTCCGAAATACTTGCTCTCGCGCTTCAGATGCCTTGATATATCTGCAGCTCGATAACTCCTTGCGATACCCTACCTAGTACTGGAATCAACGTTTTTTTTCACTTTGGTTTGTAATTCTGGCTCTATCTTCTCAACATGATCGCCTTGCTCTAAAGGGAACTTATCCTGCAGGCCTTAGTTCCAGTATCAGTCCAAAATTCCTCTTGAGGAATGATGAAGGCTCGGCTAGATAGATATTCTACCAGCGTTTTGGCTACGATTTTTTACAACGCTACTCTGAGTGTTTGTGCCGCAGCGTTATTTTTATCGATCAAGGTTGGACATCATCAACAAGATGAATGGATTTCCGCCTCACGCTATTCATACCCATTTCAGGTGCGTGTTACTTCAAATATCGACGGCGGCATTCAGCCACCTTATTCAAAAAGTTCCAGGTTAGCAACCAGCTGTCTCGGCGTCACATCTCGAGTCGGGCCATCTGGGCATTACTATTGCGGTGCACAAGGTCACTCACAATGCTCCCCGTGCTTGACCGTTGTCTAGGTCGGAGCTACAACTCGCGTACTCTGCCACGACTCGACCATTGTCTACCATGCATGGCAAGATTATGGCCAGACAACGCAACACGTGCGGAAACTCGGACAAACAACATTCTATCCGATTCCGTTATTTAAACACAGAGCCTTCTGTCTCTCTGCAACCACTCTCCAAGGCCTTCACATCCCCTTCAACAGCGCTCCCCTAAACGATCCCTAGCTCTATTCCTCAGTTGGTTTTTTTTTTTGTTTTCATCGAGCTCTATCCTTACCATCTTATCACCATCACATCTATACAGCATTCTGCTGTATATTCACGATGCCGGCTGATCGATCCTCCACCTCCCGCCCCAGCAAACTGCCCACCAAATACGAGCTCGCGCGCAAAAATAACTCCCCACCTCCTCCTAGCACTTCTCCCGTCACCCAACAAGCAGCCCAAGACCTGCTGAGGAAAATGGAGATAGACGAGCAACACGGTCGTGCCACAGGACGTGCGCAGGACACCCTCGGTAGGATGCGTAGGCGCAGCGCATCTCCCGACGATCATGATACCTCTGGCGTAGCCACCCCACGCCCGCGCCAACACTATGACATGCTCGACGACCTTGCCGCCTACCGCCGTGCTGACGAACAGTATAATGTGCCCATGCCCGCCGACCCCGTAGCCTTTAATGAACCCGCAAGGGTTGATCAGCTCTCCTCGCCTCCGCCTCACATTCCCGCTGCCGCCACCGACGACGAGGGGCAGGATCAGGATACTTTTTATGAGATTGATAAGAGGCAACGTGAACTCTTGTATCTCTACGATATGGCGAGGGAGTACTTTGAAAGGAATCCCAAACAGCATCGCACTTTCGCTCCTGGATTCCAGCAGTGGTGCAGCGACTGTAACAATAACCACTCTGAACTTGCACACATCGGATTATCTCCCGCCTACTCCCGTGTCATTGAAGAGCTCGACGTCACGGCTGACGAATGCTTTGACAGAGTCGCGGCCTATGGCTACCTCTTTTAAAAATTGCCTTGATAAGGAAAAAAAATCAGCCTCCGTTTTCTAATGTCACTCTTCGATAATCGACCCTCAGCTCTCCAACATCGATTTAACACATCGCCATCGCGCTCTTTTCGCTGGTATTATGTTGCTGAGCAAACACCACGTATCTTTCACGCCGCACATCAGGTATTCCGACGGCAAGGGTATCTGCTCGCTTTGGCGCCACCACCTTCATCACGCCACTCGTCCCCACCGTCATCACTTGATCATGCTCATGATCTCATCTGACGCCATCACACGCTCGCCTTTGGCGATCTCTCTATCAAGATGAGGCCGATACGTTA